GTTTGATGGTTGCAAAGCACTTTTTTCATAATTTATTAATAGTCCAAGTGATTCTAAAAGATTTACTGTATACGAGATGTTGTTTTTACAGATTTCCAACGATTCGCCCAATATCAAGAAATCGTCTAGATAATTTATAGACAGAATGCCTCGAGATCTCAAATGTGAGACTATAGGTTTCATTAATTTTGTATAACAAAAGGGTGCTGAAGATAAGCCAAACGGCAAACAAGTGAATTGCCATAGGTCTGAATTGTGATAAAAACGAAGAAATATTCTCGATTTTTTATCCACAGGGATTAAGAAATACGCATCCTTTAAATCAATATGTGCCATAAAGTACGATTTTTGTATCATAAAGGATGCGATCCTGTAGTCCTCCATTTTGAAGTGAGGAGACATCACATAAGAATTTAGCTGTTTTAAGTTTAAAATAAACCGCTTTTTACCATTTGGTTTATTCCTTAAAAACACGTTAGAGATGAATTGTTCCGGACAAGCAACGCACCTTTCTATTGCACCCAATGCAATAAGGTCTTTAATCGCTTGTGCCATGTGAATTTGATCCGAAACCGACAATGATATTTCTGTTGGGACTTTATATTGTATTGGATTTTTGTAAAAAGGTATTTTATATCCTTTAATCCAAGATAAGACAATAGGATTACTTGTTAATTCTTGCCAATTCTTAAGAAAGAATTTTAGTCTGCCAGCGACTGAGTTACTTACCCCTACTTGTTCCTGTAATTCGAAAATTTCCTGTCGTTTCTCGAGGGCAGGGCCTTTCGTGACTTGATCTCCCTCGGAGGATAAGTCAGGCGTCTCCTGTTTAAATTTCCGCCCGAATAATAACCTGGTCTAGTCTGGTAAGGTCTGGATGGTGCCGCTCCCCCTCTTTTTCCTTTCCTCAAGGACTGCGGCGGGGGTTGAAAAGTAATTGGTCTTAGATCCTTTCCTGCCTTTTCGAGCTGTTTCGCCAATTTGATTTTTTCAGTCAAATCTGCAGCAAAAAGAAAATCGTCTGGTGGACTGCTGTTCGCTATTTCTGAGATAGATTTGCTCATTAAAGGCGATACCAAGCTCCTTCTAACTTGGGAAATGTTATTAAAAAGGCTGGAAAAAATTTTTCCCGCGTCGACTAACGATTTGAGTAAAATTTCTTTCGTTGAGTTCTGTAAATTTTTATCGTCGTCAAAGATTTTGTTAAGGGCGATGCCTATAGCCGATAAACCGCTACACAATTATTGTTCTTGGTAGTGAAAGTGCGTTGCGTCTCTAGAATTGTGAGGGATAGTCATAATCGCCTTAATTTCCGGATTCACCAACGGTGGGATTAGAGCCTTGCAGTTTGAAGGATGATTGTATTTTTGTAAAAGTTGGGATTTTTCGTCTTTTTCTAGCCCGTTATAAATAATATGAGACCATCTTCCAGCTACTTTTGAGTGTAACTCGAAAAGGTTTGGTTTTTTCGTATTTGGATCGTCGCCTAATAAAAGTAAGACGTCATCCGACAATTCCAATTCGTTGTGGACGGAAATAGCTGGAGAAGAATCGGAGTTTAATAACTGTTGATCACGCACATGGATATCAGATGACTCGCACTCGGAGTCATGCTGTGAATGGCCTTCAACGCGCCGAGAATCTGTCGTTGTCAGCGACTCCGGGCGATAAACGCGACCATTGTTCAAGCTGTTTTGCGAGTTCGATCCCCGCAGTGATCGACCCTCGCGGTCCTTACGCGTAATAGATGAAACCGTCGAAGACGGTGATCTAGACCTGCTCCTCTCACTCGCCGAAGGAGGCGAAGCACATTTAGGGTAGCGAGAGCGTGAATTCGTATCCCGCAGATAACGACCTTCACGACTACTCGCAGAACACGACCGTGATCGTGCATCCCCCCGCGATTGCGAAGAGGGAAAAGACGATCTTGTCGTGCTACGAGAACGGGAACACCTATTCGCTCTTTCCAGAAACTCCAGGCGTTTTAATAGATCTTTTTTATGAATTCTTACTTCCGGAGAGTCACTTCGATCTCTTTTCTTTTTTGATTTTCCCATTCTAAAAAGTAAATAAGACCTGCAATATAAACGGGATTATATGTATAACAAAGGTTTACCTTAAACACTTTTCAGAACAGCGAAAAAAATTAACGTAAGTAAACGAAAAACAACCGGCAGTGAAGGCACCAAAACGACGAATGACTAAGTGTGAGCAGAGACGGGGTCGGGGCGCAGGGAAATTCTGAACTTGCTTTAAAATAGGTGGTGTTAGGCAGCCAATATGGCATACTACGTATAATACAAAGTGATATCGAGAACCGAACACTGCAGTATAATTATTCACCAGTAAACCCGTGGGCTACGCTCCACTCCTTTTATGTAAGGTAGCTTACGATATTAACAATTGCAATATTTCAACTACTTATAAATCCAAAATACATTTAATGAATTCGTCAGCGCGGTCGATAGGTAAACTCCCTAATGCGAAACAATCAGACTTTTTATAAATGCAGCAACTGAGACTTAAAAATATACATTTATTGTATAAATTTCACTACTGCATTCCGGTAATACTTATTTTGGAAACCATGACATGTAGGAAGAAAATGAATATATCCATTTTTTGTAGGAAATTTAATTGTCTTTAACTGCCTAATTCCGTTACACAACCATTTTGATAAGAATGGTTTTTAGGTAGAATGGATGGTATAAGGTTAAGCGAAAAACGAAAAAATGTGGCCCTCTTTCCCACCTGCAGCGGCTGGGCTAGAAACGGGGACTTTTGCTATTGCCGTCCTCTACAATCCCTCTATTGACTGAACTATATTGTCATTGTCACTGCTTAGTTAAAGAACATACTATCAAAGACTATCCTATCCTCTAGTCTTTGATAGTACAGTTCTCACGGCGAGTGTAAGTTTGCCTAGCAGCAGGACGCGCTGCGCACTGTTTCGAATTTAAATTGTTTGAAATAGCGCGATTGCGTAAGCCATTGGTATGTAATTTACATAACCGACCGCTGCCGAGCACACGATATACCGACCTGCGCGACACGCACGGGGTACAGGTACACACTCGCCGTGATAACATACCACAGAAAACAACACAGGTAATATGGATCGTTTCTGTAGTGTATGTGGTGCAAGAAAACGACTTAACTTCGATTTTTCAATAGGTAAGTAGCCACTATATTTTATTGTACCTAAGTAAAACTGTTGTATTTCAGAGAAATGTGAAAAATGTAACCAAATGCCGCACATTCTCTCATTTGAATTGAAATCAAGCAATGTTTTACGTTGTTCAGTGTGCGTGTCGTACATTTGCGAGTCAAATAGATATTGTGAAATATGTGGCCATACCGTAGAACGTAGTAAAATAATTAGAAGCAAACGGGCAATTGAAAACCGCGACATGATTCGCGTAAAAAAAAATCAGGCTTTAGAAAGAAGAAGAGAAACTCGCAATATGGTAAAAGCTGAAACAATTACATCTTTATCAACATCGCATTTAGATGAGTCATTAGAGCAGGCTGATGTAAATAAATCGTTTGCAACTGATGGTGAGGGCGACATTTTATTCAGTCAGCTGCGTGATGAAGATCTCGCCAACGACGTAAACAACGGCAACGATAAGAAAGAAACACATTTAGAGGAGGTGTGTGATATAGAAAAGGACGCCGATGTAAAGGATAAAAAAGAAGAAAACAATTAAAAAATATTTTTGTGTTTTATTCAGTATATTTTTACCTTAACTTGTTATAAGAAAAACATATTTTTAGTGTAGGTAATAATCAATTATATCTAACTTAAAAATAAAACTTACAGCAAAAAATGCCAAATACGCATAACGGGCGATCAAAAATGAGTTGCTCTCTAGTCGCCTTTGGAAGTTCAATTTAAGTACATTTCCCATGTAAACAAAAATTCCAAAGGTGACTTGACAGCAACTCATTTTTGATCGCATTGTACATGTATCAGATTTGAAACAGGGATTGCGTTAACAAAATGTTAGGTTATAAATATTGGCTCTCCTAATAATTGAAAACCGGAATTACAAAACTTCGGGGTAAACAACATTGCGCGTGAATTTTCCCGAATAGTTTGGGAAAGACCCCTGTGTTTTCGAGTCTTCAATGAAAATTCGTATACAGTCAAATTTACGAACTCGGGAAAGAGCTACATAAAGCTGACCGTGAGAAAATACTGGATCGGGAAGGTACAGGGACACTTTTTTAAGAGTTTGTCCTTGACTTTTATTTATTGTCATACAAAATGCCAATCGTAGTGGGAATTGTAGACGTTCAAATTTAAAGGGCAATGCAGTATCAGATGGTTGCAGTTTAACTTTGGGTATAAGTATTCGTTCCCCACGATTTGCTCCAGTTAAAATTTCACACTCGATAGAACTTGGATTCATATTCAATACACGGAGACGTGTACCATTAATAAGTCCTTGTGCGATGTTCATATTTCTTAATAAAATTACAATGGCATTTTTTTTCAACTTTAAGCAATGCTGAGGAAGACCACTGATTTCCACACTGTTAAGGAATTCCGGTGGTAGTTGGTCATGTTCTTGGGGATCTTGCGTATCTATACTAAAATATATTTGTGGCTCACCTGAAAGTTTGTCAAGGACTTTTTCATTAATGATTGTTGCGTTATTATTTTTTGGGGTAAGTATTGCTCTATCGACGATTTCTTCCAGATACAATGTGTCTATAATGTTTCCGAAAGTAAAGTTAAGCATTGATTCAATACCTTGACCTATAATTTTTTCGGGAATCTGAATGAGACCTTCTCCGATTTCTGGATGAGCTGGATATTTGCCATCTCCAATATCTAATAGAAATTTTGAGAACGCACCATCATCTTCACTGGCTCTCATGTTGGTTTGAAGATCTAGTTTTTGGAAATGAGTAAAAAGTGGATTGGACTTAATTGATGATTCAACCGTAACTGCACGACCGACGTGAGCAACAACGGAAAGTGTTTGGCGAAAGTCACCACTAAGTAAAATAAACTTGTTTCCGAAGTGTCTTTCCTTATCGGAGCCATTAACTATATCTTTAAATAGTCTATTAATTACCGTAAGAACATCAGAGCTAATCATTGGCGCCTCATCGCATATAATCAGTTTTGAAGATCTAATTCTTTGTGCAATGGCAGAATTACGTCTAACTTCAGGAACGGAGTCTGATCTTGTGGGAACAGGCAACTTTAATTGAGAATGTATTGTTCGACCACCTGGTAGCAAAGACGCTGCAATACCTGTATAAGCCATAGCAATGCAACTTGAACCGAGTTTGGCAATTAGTGAACGTTGTATAAAAGTTTTTCCGCATCCGGCCGCTGCTGAAAGAAAATATAAACGTTGAGAGCTGCCGGTGTCTATGGCTTGGATTATTGTATCAATCACAAACTTCTGTTCGGCATTTGCTTGAGAATATAAATCCAAAAAAGTGTCACTATTATTGTCCGCGTCTGCGCTTTGTGCCATTGTTGAAGGTGTTGGCAAACCAATCAGAGCACATGTTGTATTATTTTCCAAAAGAATTTCTTCAATTTCCAGAAGTGCGCAATTTTCGGCGTTCTCAAGGCTCATTGTTTGGATGTAATCTTCATACATGTGGTATTTGAAATCATTCCATATCAAATCCACATTATTAGGGACATTCAGTGAACAAATGATTGCGAAAAACTGACGAATTTGTTTGGGTGTTTTAGCACCGCAAACCTCCGCAACAGCCTGATACCAAATCATATCATTGGCCGAAATACCTCTTGCTTGGCAAGCGTCAACATAAGTTGAATAGACGTGGCCATCATATGTTCGTAGGTCTTCGAAGTTTTTCGCACCACGTACATGTAGAAGTAGCATTCGTAAATGGAAAAGCTCAGAATTTTTTGGATTTACAGCGTATAGGCGGCTTACAACCTTTGGTGAATTTTGTTTGCGTTTTTGCCAACAACGCCCATTATTTGACCAAGTGTAATGCAATGGTGTTTCAGTGTAAAGGTACTGGTGTGCAAATTCGTCTATTTGATTAAGACGGAACCAAGCAAGTAGTTTGGATTGGCGAACGTTTTCCTGTACCAACTTATTGCCTATTTGATCTTCATTAAATATAATTCTTTGTTGATTTTGAAGGTGACATTCGAGTTTGATTATTGTGTGTGATTGATAATGCATTTCAAATTCATTGATTCGCCATATAGCTTCATGGGCGCCAACATATCGTCCTGTGATGAATGTGTTTATTTCGTCGTGTGATAACGCTACAGAAGTTGAGTCGGTGGTAAAGTGAAGCGTTCCGGCGTCATACCCCTTGTAAATGTATTTGCTGAAAAATGAAAGACACGTTATTAAATACCTACTTATATATTTAATGTATCATTAATACTTACTAAATGTATTTAATTGATTTAACGGAAGAGCAAATTTCCACATTGATATGCGCATTATATCGTTGCAAAAGATATGGATTGTGAGGCACGATACGACGATTATCAATTAGATTGTTATTGGATTTCCATATCTCCCTCCCATTGTTTCTACGGCGGTATATCGGATAGCCGTTGATCGCTTCGCGAGTATTTTCACTGAAGTCTTTTGGATATTTTTTGGAGCATTTTCCTTCTTCTAAGCACATTGGATTGCAAGAATGAGTCATATGAGACGTTACTAAAGCGTATAGATGGCCTTCTTTTCTTGGATCAGGGATTTCAGCCGAAATAAAACGATCGATGTCTTCAGGTGTTCTTATTGCATCATCTTGATGAAGTGTCACCAATAAATGAGCGTGGGGAAGACCTCTTTTTTGAAATTCAATTGTATAAACGAGCGCCGCAACTCCACCGAAAATCCTTCCTTTCACAATTTCTTCAATTAAAGAGTTCAGCTTTAACTTGAATACTCTCACAACAATATCAGGACGATACTCTGGCCTGTTTTCGGGTTGAATAGTTGTTTTTATTTCGTCCCAATTGGGATTAGCTGTAAAAGTAATAAATAAGGAAGGCTTTCCGCAAACTTGAATAATCCTCATGGCATCTAGGTAACGTTCGTGCATATTTCGGGGGGAACCAATGAAGGAGGATGGAAGAATGACCATTTTACCCGGAACTACGCCAAGTTCGTTTGATTCACGAATCATAAAGTCCATCACGTTACAGTAGAGGTCGGCCCTTAGTTTGCTTTGATTCATTCGAATGTATGTGAGACGTTGACTTTCAATCCGAACGTAAATATCCACAATATATTGAAGGAAAAGCTTCTGGCTTCTATGCAGCAATGAAAAACCGGGCCTCACTGAAAGGCGATATGATACATATTGCAGAAGAGTAACCTTAAATCGTGATACGGTACGATTTTCTTGAATATGCTCCATGTTCATGTCCCAACCCTTGTCTCCATTTGGGAATAACAAAGGATATGTCAGTGGATCAATTATGTTGGATAGAATGGGAACCTGGCGTATCCCTCCTGTTAGCAGGTAGATTACAATGTCGCGATTATTGTTTAAGGGAGGAGCACCATCAGAGGATTTGAAAATTGTTGCAATTTTTTCAGTTCCTGAAGCATCATTGTAGCGGCCAGGATGGCCATCTGGTGAGCAGCTGCCATGGAGATACATACACACTTCTCGGGTATTGCGGTTTTCACTTTCTGCGAGAGATTGCTCTTCGAGCCATAAGTTATGCATAGTTTTGAATTGCTGAGCATAAGGATTGACCTGGTGAATGTAATTCGAAATGTGCTTCATTAGGTTAGCATCGCATTCGGCATTGTATGTATTACTCATTCTCTGTTGTACTGCTTCGTCGACGTCATATGTGTATACAGAAGCATTGCGTGCTGGGTGGGAGTCATTTGTCAATAATGGGCCGATACTATGATAAACCTGTCCATGGATTTTGTAATAGTAAACACCGTGTCCAGGATTTTCTTCTAATTCGGCTTGCATGGATACCATCTGATGAGCTGCGTTATATTTCCGAATATTTTTTAAATATTCTTTAGAAGTTTGATCATCTTTTTGTATAAGTTCCTGTAAAAATATTGAAGACGAAATTGGGTGTAGTTTGACTTTGGCCTTGTGGCAGCAATTTTTAAACACAACTGAATTTGTAGTGTCGTGTTCGGCTGTAAAATGCAAAGCATCACAACCACTACAGGTAACATCCATGGTACCTAAGTGATGCACATTGGTGGTCGTGGTGGCATCTTCAATAAGAGATACAAAATAATCGTAACCTCAATTTGTAGAATCTTACCTCTCCTTCTTCGCATGTTAACACGGCGATCTTCGCTCTTTTTACGCGCACGTGTGGGCATATTTAACAATCGTTAACCGAATGAACGAATAAATAAAATCAAGTCGTTTCCACAAAGCGGAAATCAAAAACACAGCGTAAAAATGCAAGCGAATGAAATCATAAGTCTGCATTTAACCTTTGAGCCGTCTTATTTCGTTATTCAATGGTTCTACCTAGTAGATAGGCAACCCTAATCACTCCTTCATAAATGCCTTTCATACATCGACCTTGAAGTGTATTGCGTGATCAAACACCCAAAAGGCACATCTACCACATCAGAGCTTTCCGTAGAGTCGACAATCTTGAAGATCGGTCAATTGGTAGAAAAGATATGGCGGTAACAAAATTTAAATGTAAAATCGGTTTCGGTATTAATATATTAGATCGCTTTGCATTTGATAGTGTTTTCTTTTGGTTTGGTAAAGGGTTCAACAACTGTACTCATACCACTTTTTAGACACAGGAAAACCCAGTCGTGAAATCAATATTCCTTATAAATCTGTTTGAGGAAATTTAATTTTTGGAATTGATTTTTTTCAAGTTATGTCTCTCTTGTGCTATTTGTTATTTTGTGGTGTCTCTCGCTTATACAGAGATGGGCAAATCACTGTATAGTAAATTATGTATTTATGTATTATGTGGGTCACTTGTATGTGTGTTGTGGCCCCACGTTGAGCGCCAAATAAATTATGCTGTAGCCCCATGTTAAGCGCCAAATAAATAATGCTGCGTGCAATGATTTGCAGTTACAATACCACACAACAGACATTAACCTAGTTAGCTCAAATTAAACACTTGAACTTTTTTCTTTTTAAAATTTTCTCAGGTCACGAGTGGTTTCCGAAAAATAATACTCTAGTAGGACTTCGAATGAGGATTCAAATTGACAAATAATTAATTTATAAAAAGAAATTATAAGAATTTATTCTAAAACGCGTGAAAAGAAAATCAAATACAAAGAGTCTTGTAAGAAAAATTTAAGGCTAACAGAGCCTTTTGAATACAAAACCGCTCGTTTGCATAGTGGTCGAAAATTATTTTAAGAGATCTCAAACGGGACTCACAGTTCTGTTAATAATAATCCAATAAACTGGTGAGGACAAAAATATACGATGATCGGGAAAACACTATAACACGAATCTGGTAGATTCTTCTGAAAAAAAACTCACTTTTAGTACGACAAAACTGGCTCGATGACAAAAAACACTTAAATTTATGACTGCTCTTATGATAAGATTTTTCTTGTATTACACCAATTATTTAATCACTCTTGATAAATACAAACTTTTTAAACTCGAAATTCTATGAGTAAAAACGTCTTCACAAAATCGAACTTGTTTCCGCATTACTTTGTTAACAAGAAGACGACTACGTTTTTCTTTTAAAATCACATATCCGGCTAGACTACCAGTGCAAATTAGCGTCACAGACTTTACACTCTCGGACACTCGATATTCCGCACCGTCACTCGAACTGAACAACCTGACGAACAGTCCGAACACCTGCGTTGCTTATCTTGCGCGTAGCATTGTTTATCGCAAAACCAATTAATTTTTGTGAGATAATAACTTTTTACCAATACTTGACGAGATGAAAGGTTGAAAGTTACGATTTAATCTTCCCTTATTTATGTGTTTTGAATTCATCATACAAATTAAATACAAGAAATAGAATTAAATGAACTTACATGCATAGTGATCTAGGATTTCTTACTGAAACGGTTAATTCGCGTCCTCGTTCCCCAGACTTGTCTCTGTACGACTGCTTTTTGTGGAGTTACCTCAAGTCACGTGTATAGGAGCATAAAAAACGTACACTTGAAGAACTGAAAGAAGCAATTAGTATGGAAGTGCTCAAATTGACAGAGAGAGTAGGCCAACTTCCAATAACCGCTTATGAAGTGCATCACGGTCGTCACCTGGCAGATGCTGTTTTGAAGCATTAATTTTTTCAAATGGCAATATAATGAGGGTATTATTCTGTAAATATTTTTTTAATACACAGGTAACACATGGTTTTTTTTAAACGTCCGTCTTTTCTGTCTCACCATGTATATCGTCTGAACAAACTGAGGGTAAATTGCTACCAAACTCGATAAGCGGAGCATCCTCAGACAGGTTCGCGGTCTTTTAAAATTATTTGTTTCTACCACAAAATCGAGGTTCAGGTGGTAATAAATAATTACTCAACGAGTAGATTGCATTTTTACCAACTGCTTTTTGTGCCTTAATCTAAGCATAACTTACGCTTGGCGCCCTATCAGCACAAGCAGTTAATCGACAATGTGACCGAATTCTACGCGTTTCGAAGTTAGCAAATCCGAGTTCCTGAAACCGTCTTAGTCAATATCAGCTATTTGGTTCCAAACATTTACTTTTTGTTTGGTTACTTTTATTGACTTTCTATGCCATTTTATGTTACCTGGTAAGTGTGAAGCCAGACATGGTGAGATGATACTTCTTTTTCGTCGACTGAGTCCTAAACTGTCGATCTACTACGACCTAATGGATAAGTTGCAGTACTCATCAGGAACGGCATCGTTAGCTACTATCTCTATCACTCTACTTTTACTAAACAACCTTAATCTAATTTATTTAATTTCTTCTACATCACTACCAAAAACTGAGTTTCCCGAGAGCATATTTCTTGTTTCATTAGGAATCACATTTTATGTACGTAACATGATACTAATCATTAGTTATCTATTGCCAAGCGAACCACAAAACACCTGTTCAGCTAGCTCAATTAAACTCAAGTACTAATAAAGCCTATAAAACAAATAATTATATTTTTTCTAAGGCACGTCCAGTCTCCGCCACGACGAAAATCCCGATGTTGACGTAAATTTTGAAAAATTGAGGTACTTAGCAGCGTTAATCGCTTCCCAAAGTCCAAAGAATTGAATGCACAAATATTAAATTAACACCTGATGTAATTTTGGGTATGAAATAGAAAAATTTAACATGAACACTCTTATGTGGGTGGTAATTTGGGCTCGATTAAACACAAAACTAACCATTTCAGGCCAAACAAATCTATTCAACATAAATCAATGAAATTTGCTGATGAAAGAATGGCACTGAGGAACAAATAAAACACACCTCGCAACAAGCGGTCGATAGAACAAGTTAAATGAAATCTTAATTACAGTGTTAGTAATCCATGATCTGGTCAAAATTGCGTTTTTTCTTATCAGAGGCACATTTACATTCAAACTAGGACTACTTTACAAACTCTGCTTCTTTACCTTCACTTGAAACTTGTTTTAACGCACTGCCTTTCTTGTAATTCCAATTGTAAATGTGGCTTTTCAGTGGTGGAAAACTTCCCTTTCACCGATACTTAGACAACTCTCCGTGTGCGTGCACAAACCAACGCTTTATGAACTCAACTAGCTACTAGACTTCACAACTTATTAACGTCACAACTCACTGTCCTTACGAAAAGGTCACCAAACAAACTCCAATATACGGCAGAAAAAAACATGGCAAAAAGCTACATTCCAAACGTCGACCACCAAAGAAGCCATGATTAACGTCCGGTTCGCTTATTTAAAATCTTTTCCCTTTCCACTTACTTCCTTCGTTCTTCCTTACCAAAAACAATGCGCCTCTTCGAATAATCTGCACCTGTGCCTCTGACCGGCGAAAAAAACCCTTAACATAAAACTAATTACCTTCGCAGACATAAGAAAACTTCTTATCTACGACTGGAGATAAACATGAGGTAAACTTTTACAAACACAACGCACATAATTACTATCTGAATAAATCCTATCTTTTACCATATAATTTAAATTTACAATTACTAAACCAAACTAAACAAAATTAATTCTTGTGCAAAACATGGACCTCGAAATCAAATAATATAATTGACATTGCGTTTAATCTTCGATAAACAAGTGCACTTAACGTTAACAGTAATTGGATGTACATACAGGGTGACCAATCATAAATCATTGCTGCAGTAAATAAAAGTCCGAATGGAGTATTACACAACTAAACACTATATTGTTTAAATATGAGGTTTATTATTTAACTCTGAGTAGTACTCGTAAGACGGACTCTTGGTTTCATCTCCAGTCTCGAGATGCATCTATTTTCTTATTGGGTTAATTTCCTGTCACTGTAACTCGTTCATTAAATATTTTTGATATTTATTAAATTAGATCAGGAATATGCGTAAAATGTATTTAGGTATATAATAAACACGCACAAATAAATTAATTTGGTGTAACTAACGAAACATATTTCTCTAGCTACATTTTAGGTGTACGTTGTGCCCAGAGGGTGCCTTTTTTTGTTATGTAAAATAGAATGCAGCCTACTTTAACCAATTATTACCACATAACGTGATGCGACACATTCACTTCGTGTTTGACTTCGACAATAGGTCAACTTTTAAAATAAATTGCTAAACCTCTCGCCAGGAAAGATTGCCGGTCTTAGAACACTTGATCCTGGTCTACAATCTATGTTTTTCTAAAGATGTGAGCGATTTCCGGGATAGTATCGTGTCAATGTTGAACAAAAAGACTTTTCGTTCAACATTGGCACGATCCTATTCCGGAAGTCGCTCGCATCTTAAGAAAAACAAAGATTGTAAATCGACACAAGGTGTGCTGTGACGGGCAATCTTTCCTGGCGAGAGTTATACACAGTTAAATTAACACCTAAACTGAAATATGTAATTATAAATTTTTCAACGTCCCAGTATTGTGTATAATCGAAGTTTGTTTATGCTGGTTCAAGTTTGTAGGGATTAAACATACTTTAATCGAAGAGTAAAGAATTAAAGATATATGTGCACCTGAATGCAAGAAATATCAAAAAGAGTGAAGGCACAGGCCGAGCTTCGACAACATAAAATAAATTCAGATAGCGTTTGTGTTTATTATACCAGAAGCTGTTAAAGCAATACTTCCCTCCTTGACGCTAACGAGATTTAAGGAATTCTTTTCACATAAATTTCTAACTTTTTGTAGTAGTTTGATACTCGTTTTCAATTAGCTTTGACGTATATGTTATAAAAGGTCGTCTGACGAAAAAGGCAAATATTTATTTTTTATAAAATATTAACACATTTACA